ATGAGTTTTTTACAACTTGTTTTAAGACATTTCTCACTTGTCTAAAGTCTAGAAATATTTACTTATTTCAAGAAATCTTACCAAGTGCAATTATCTTACTGCACTGGCAGATTATTTCACTTAATTTGAGATGATTCAGACTATTATCTAGTATTTTTTTACTTATTTTTAGATGGGTACTTTTTGCAGTGTGTGTTGGGAGAGTGGTTAGCAGTCTTTCCCCTAGGTTAATTGCCTTGGCAGAGCACTCATCTATTCTGTGATTTTTGTTGACGGGTAAGGGAAACACTGCGTAGGTACTGATCCTTAGTTTGCAAGTGAACAGGAGCAAAAACAACAAAAAAATACTATGCATTGTAATTTCTTATAATAAAATAATAAACCAAAGGATTTTAAATTGCTATTTTTTGATTTTTAAAATCTGCAGAAACTTTTGTGTACCTTTTTTAATTGTATCTCATATATAATTAGCTATATATGCATTCTTAAGTACAGTTGCAATGCATACATTAAAATTGTGGAATGAATGTCAAGTGTTTCCCCAGAACTGGTAAAAATAGACTTGTCTCAGTCGGACAGTTTGAAAAATAAGCATATTATCTGCATACACATACTAACAAAACTCACCCAGATGACTCAGACAGGATCCAGGCTCAGTGTGAGGATGCCTTAGGTCAGGCTCTGCTGGAAATATCAAAAGTTGACCACACATGCTACTGGTTCCCCTACTGGTCCCCCTTCATCCCCCCCAGCCACTTAGTCACTCACACACACATTCACATGCACATTTTCAACTGTTGCTTGTTTAGGAGATACTTCTTCTGTTATGCAGGGAACAAAGGAATATCTGTGGAAATCATTTACTGTCTGTAATTTTGTTTTCTCAAATGCACTAATTGCATTGTTTAAGTAAACAAGAACCTATCTGGAATCATTTTTAAATAAACTAGAGAATTAGGAGTCATTAGTGAGGGACTTTGAGGAATTATTTGCTGGAGGGAGAAAATGGGACAATGGGAGAAGGCAGGATTAAGGGGGAAAAAGTGCATTCAGCATTTTATTCATCTGTCCCCTCTCATTATAAGTGTCTGGTTGTGTGTGTTGCGATGCGTATTTATCACATTTGGCAGCTGTACTTTAATTCGACAATGTTTCACATTTGATTTATTTTAACCAGGCGCAAACGGAGAGCAGACCGCCATGAGGCCACATCTTGGTGTGTGTTTACAACAATGTGCTCGCAATTTCAGCAGCATTTATTCTGCAAGACCAATCAAAGCTGTCTTCCCAAGGATGCTGAGTGGGAAACACTTGTAACATGTGTACTGTAAACTGGATGAGGTTTCAGCATGGACCCTCACTCAGCAGCAGCTCATCACATGCATACACACTCTTCTAAACACTGCTAATGGAAATGCAGTGAAGAAGCCAGACTTTCTCTCTCTCACACACTATCTCATATATCTATCTGTCTGTCTATCTCTACCTATCTCACTATCCATCTCTGTCTCTCTATCTTCTCACTTTCTATCAATCTATCATATCTATCGATCTTATCTATCTCTCTATCTCTGTATTACTGTCTATCTCTATCTCGTTATCTATCCATTCAACCTTTATTTATACAGATTAGTCTCACTGAGCATCGATAACCATTTACAAGAGACCTGTATCTATCCATCTGTGTGTCTGTCTGTCTGTCTGTCCATCCGTCCGTCCGTCCGTCCGTCCTCCACCCCTTTGTATATATGTATCTCTTTATGTATATCTGTCTCTATCTAGATCTGTCTATCTTTATCCCTCTCTATGTATGTCTGTCTCTATCTCGCCATCTAATCTATCTATCTCTCGCACTCTCCTTCGTTCATCCCTTTGGTCATCTCTCCTGCTCATTTTTGGTCTTTGAATGGATCTGTTAGCACATCCAGAGATGTAACTGCTACCACTTCTAGAGTAAAGATCAGCCTTCTCTCTATAGAGAAGCAGAAGGTGATAGATTAGCTAGAACAAATTGGAACCATTACTCTCCTGTGTCCCTGGATCCTGTCAAGCAGTGAGTTTGTAGAAACGTTGTCAGATACTGTATACAAGCATTTGCCCCTCTGAACCATCCAGAGCCTCTTTAATTTGAGTCAGATGGCATTTGAGGTATGTGTCATGGGGTGTAGGACGTTTTGTAACAGTAGGTTTCAGCAGATACCAGCAGAAGTATTTATGGCCTCTTCAAACACAGACATACATGGGCCCTGTGTAATTGGACACATGGCCACCTGTGTCTGACACAGGCTTTCTTCTGTCAGAGAGTCAAGCATGAAGTCAGCAGGCAAAATCAAAAGGTGCAGTAGAAATGAAAACAGAGTTTGTGCTGAGTACTCTCACACACGTTTTTACCCAATCCCAGGTTCAGAGTGAGGGCGGCGTCATGGATGACCTCTCCAAATAGGCACAGTAACCTGTGTAATAATCGTGTTTGATCCCCCCCACTACTTCAGAGGGTGCGTGTATGTGCCTCTGTCGGACCCTGATCTTCTACTTTCTCCAGTGCTAATAGAGGCTGACAACTGAGAAGGGCCAGTGTATGTTTCCCCACAGCCTGCTTAAATTAGTCTGTTCTTTAAAGATATGTGAATACCGTCGCTCTACCTTTAGGCTTCATGCTTGTTCTTCTACTGAGTCTCTACCTTAACATAGACATTAATTTTATTGCTCAAAGTGATCTAAGGTAAACACTTCTGTATGAAACATTTCAATGCTATAAAGTACACGTCCCGGCATGAGG